AAAACTCGAAGTATTATGAATGATGTTTACAATATTTGCTAAATTAAAATTAAAATTTTAATTCACTGTGATAAATCTTTGACGAGTAAATATTTAATTGATTTAGAATTTTTACAATGTGATCCTTTTTTTGGATGAATGGATCAACTTGACGACGCTTCGCCTTCCTTTTTGATATTCGAGTTTTTAACTTTGTCTATTTAAATTCTATTTAATCTGTATTTGCCCATTTCCTTTAAAATGCATTCTTCACTATTTATCTGCCTTTTCCAACAAGATAATTATAGCTTCTTTTTTTATTATAAAAAATATCACATTGACATTCCTCATCCAAGCAAAATAAAAGAGAAAGAAATGATTAAATTACAAACCTTAAACTCTCCAACCATAAATTTGAATAAAAAATGAAACTTTTTAAGAAATAAACCAAATATCACATTAGTATCTAAACGATAAATCTGCAAAATAACCAAAATTTATTATTTGTCAACTTATTCAAATATTAATATTACTTTAGTAGAAAAAAATCTCTTAAAAATTGTTCCCTGTCTTTTCTCATAGTTATTTAATCTAATTTGTTGAAAAATACTTCAAATGAATTCGATTATGACAAAAAATCTGAGGTGTAAAACATGAATGATAAAGGAACATTGGATAATTCATGAAAAGACGAGTTATCATTTTATTGTAATTGAGAAAATCACTTGAAATAATTCAATGACAAACGAAATTATTTCTATTTACTTTACAAATACCGAGTTTATTTGACCTATTTACATTATGATGTTATCAATGAACAGTGTTGCATGACAAATTCTTAGTAATTATATTACTATTTGATGTGTCCTCCTAATTAATCGAATTGGAGCAATTTATATCCATGTTTTAAATATACCTTGAATAAGGGCCAAAAAAATACAAGCGGTAGAATATCGAATTGTTTCATCGAGAGATTTTTAGCCATGCCTAGAAAAAAAAATGATTGTAGCCTTGCTTATAGTATGATATTACTAAAACCAAGAATATTTAGAACTATGTTTTTTTCTAAATTTAGAAGTAAGATTTGCGATGAGTGTGATGCCTCTGTAAACTCTGACACCACCTCTAGAAGCTGAATTTGTTTTGGGATTGGAGATCGAAAGCGATATATTCGATCCTATAGTTCGTTCCATTGCTATATCATCTTCACCAGTAGCCGAAAATCTTCCCATCACCGACTTTATATTTTTCGGTAGCAAGCCTCGAGAGTATTTTTTAGCTATTGACAAATCCATAACCTAAAATTAAAACTAGATTTGGACACTTAATCGTATCGATATGCTGATAAGGAAAATCGTTATATCAACTAACTTTCAGAAGTTCCTCATAACTTAAAATGAACGAAATCCCAGTGAAATCAAATTAAAAAATAAATTAGGATTGGATATATGAATAATTGGTAAAAATTATAAAATCCAAGTATTAAGCTTTTCCGGTGAAAAATTTTCAGTAAGCCATAGCGATGAAGCATACTGTAGAATGATGTGCATATTACCCGTTCAGTCCCCACCGGATAATATTTCAGCTCATTTCTTTATAATTTTACAAGGGTACTATTTGGAAATGCAATTATTTTATGCAATTGCACTGCATTGCACTTTTCCTTACCATATGATCCATCAGGAATGATGAAACCTTTTAGACTTTATCTATCCTTCTCCGACCAATCTTACTATTAGTGGATCAACTAACCTTAACATGCGGTGCAAGTAATTCTTGCCACGAATTCAGCAATGCAACTAAGGCAAATTTCCGGTCCGACTTTGATACAATAAAAGATTCCAATGCTAATGAATGATTCGTCCAGTAATTATATCGTTCACTTTCATCCTTATTCATCGAGCAATGCAGTAAAAAAAGCATTAGCTTGCAGCTTGCACATGCATTCATTACTATTGCATGTCGTTTGACCTCATGCAGTGAACTTTGACATACCGTTAAAATCTGAAATACAAGACAAAACTGTACGATAACTATTTGGAAAACAAAATAACAATATGCGTGTTAACATGAAAGAAGATTTTTTCTTCTTTGAGATTTTAAAGTGGGTTTTTATAAAGGCTTTAAAAAACTTCAAATTATGAAACATAAAATTTCAACCAAATCATCACGTAAATCCAGCGCTTCACTCAATGCTTTACACATGCATAAATCAAGCCATTCGTCGTATTTCACTAATATATGACGAATAGATTGTTGAAATTCCCGCAACACATGGATCCATGATCTTAGGGATGACATTACCGCTAGTTGTAGTAATGTTACATCGCTAAAGTAAAAAAGAAATTCCTCAATTTGATAACTTCAATAACAAAGAACGGCTTGTTAATCCCCATATCTCATTACCTATAATTTTTTTGTGGGCTAGCTAGGATACACGTCTAATATCACATGTATACATTTGACAAGTATAAATATATCATTCTTTAGCATAAATTAGCCGTATTATAATAAAAAGCGTGAATATCATTTTTACTGAATGATCTGTTTATTCACTTATTATTTCCTATCATTTCGATGAAATAATACTTAGAAACCTTTGTTTATCAAAGCACTGATCACCGGAATAAATCCTTAGGCGTGGTTCACCAGTACGAATGATAATTTCACTACCATTAATCCAATGCAACAAATTTCGACGATTGATAAATCCTTTCAGCGATATATTTGGCACGTTTAAGTCTGTAATAAAATACAAAAATTATAAAAGTGCAGCAGAGAGAGAAAAAGGAAAGACAGAAAATGAAATTCTAATTCTGACAATAAGTTTTCGGACACATTTCCATTTGAATTTTACTACATGACTCATGTGAAATCATGTTATAACAATAATAATTATCACGATCATTATCGTTACTATTATCAATATTCAATGTCATTATTTATATCAGTCCATCCTGAATTGTTTTTTGAATTATCAGTTCATTCTGGATGTATTTTTAATTCATTCTTAAAATATGACTTATGTGACATCTTACACAATGCAACAATATATTACAAACAATTATTTAAGAATCACACCGACATTTTGCTTTACCGTTTTTCAGATATATACTACTGCCATCTATCTTACATATTGAAAACAAAACTTTAATTTCAAAAAAAAGAAAAGTTCAAAAATTATCAGAATCCCCATCAATATACAAATATGTAGCTTCAAAAATGACAATAATTAGGAATGTATCAAGAAAGTAATGTATCAATTAGTAATGTATCAGGAATATGATTAAGTAGTGAGATACCACAGAGGATAATTAAATTGCTATGTCGTAACCGTCTCGATATATTCAGTTGCTGCCAATTTGTTACAAAATTTGTTTGCCAATTGTCAATTGAAGGTTTGCTTTCTCTCATATAAACAATTTTTGCAAATTGCGCATGATAAAGCGTTTGCGCATCAAAGCATATCATTTGCATATCCTGTATTTATCAGCATGTCTCAACACTTTCATATATTTATATTTTCCTTACATCTCTTCAGGTAACAATTCACTTTTGCATCATTGATTTTTTTATTCAAGAAAAAGAAAAAGTGAGAAAAAAATTATTTTTCTAAGAAAAAGAATGATGAAGGATACAAATTTCAACATTTATTTCAATGACAAATATCGGCGCAATGCGATATTGGGTAAATGGTGCAACATAAGCGCTTAGTTATTTTAATTCAAGATTTTTTTTCTAAGAGTTGAAAATACAGTGAGGAAGAACAAAATAAAAAGTTATTGCAATCTATGATCACTCACATTTTGATTATTCGAGAACGCACTCAAATAACATTCCCGTCCATAAATCACTGTAACTGTACAATGTGTCGCGGTAGAGCGAGTGGAATTATTTTTGTCTTTGCCATCTCTTAGCAACCCATTGTCAATAATAGTTCCTTGGAAAAATGTAATGTAAAAAGGTGGTAAGCCAAAATGTGCATTCAATTCAGGTAGCAACGAATCTAAAATATGTTTTCGATAATCATAAGTTGGTTGCTGCAAAGATGAACAAACGAAAAATTAGAGTTAATATGAAAAAACGAAAAAGGATAACGGAAACTTCCAAATCTAAAATCGAAATTAAAATTGAAGAAGCGAAATTTTCATATAGAAATAGGGAAATTGGTGAAAAGCCTAATTTACCTTGAACAAAAACTATGTTTTTTTCGGTGATTGGTTGCTTATGACAGTTGAAAGTACATGAAGCATAGATATGTTGTATTACCGAAACTGGATTAATTGCTGTTAGCATCATTTCCGCTCGTTCGGTAAGTCGTCGTATCACTTCCACACTTAGTGGTGTAAGAAAAATCTATCCAAAAAGTGGCAAAGTCACCGTAGCTAATTTTGGGAAATAAACAATTTTAATTTACTTTCATAACATTCAAAATGATTATTATGATTATAAAGCGGTCAGAAATGTTTATTTAATAATAGGACGTATTCTGAAAAAACATATTTTGCAAAAATTTGATATGGAAAGTACTGCAAAAATAACTAAAGATATCAAAATTGCCTTTTAAATTTCAAATTAAATCTGGCGAATGTCATAATTAGGAAAATTATGGAAAAATGAATAAATAAACAGATGGAACCTTTGTTACTGAAGAAATATTGCCCCATCCATAAATAACTTTGGGATCAGTGCCCCAATCGGTGGGTCGTTGACCGTACGGTATTATTTGTATACTTTGCGTACGCACCAGTTGTGATACTTCTTCTTTCAACGAAATATTCTTTCTAATTTCACTTTTTACTTGCGTTTCAGTTAAATGTAAATTATTAATGCCACTTCGAATCTATAAATGTTTGACCAAATATCACTGAAGTATTAAACAAAAATATTGAGTAATGTCATATGTTACACACAATATAA